AATTAAGGGTTTCCATTAGCAAAAGTTCATCCGCGGAGCTTTTAGCTCGCAGATATCAACGGCTAATCGATAATTTACACGAGCTTGGCGAACGTCGGATCCGGTGAAAAGAACAAAATAGAAACCAACGATCGATCGATCGAGGTGACCTAACACCGGTTCGCTTAAGCGGACCGAATTAAGATTAACGCCGAGGATCATCGCTCACTCGAGATCCAAACGAAATCGCTCGAGGATATACTTTAAATACCAGTGTCCAGGGCAATGGAATCCCTGACTCGCATCGGCCAACAAACAGAACCGCCGCGCCGCTGCGAGCTAATGGATCCTTATCCGGTGCCAATACTCGCCGCCAATACCCGCCGCGATTGCTTCGTTAAATTACAATTTCCCCATGATATTTCTTCGAAACGAGAAAACGCGCGAATAAGTGATTCCAGGATGCTTTCGTCAGGAATCCGATCCGCCCGTTTGCAGCGCGTGGAAAACGCGAGAACTTTGTGACAGAAAGGAGAGACCGCCACCCCTCGTCCTGTATAATTGTCGTTCTACGCTGGTAATCGAGCACACGCTCTCGCACGCGAGAAAGAGCCGGTCGATCGAGAATGCGATCGGCGTGAAACCACTGACAGATCCTAATGAGCTTCGACAAAGAAGCACTGGAAGGATATACGACCTTTGCTACGCTTTAAGGCGGCCTTTGTTTTTCACGGCCTCCGCGATCTAGACTCACGCTCGATCGCCACGGCTACGTGAGAGCTCGATCTTTCACACCTCGCGTTGGGAATTAGTCGCCTATTTTTGGCATCAGAGATTCGCGACATGCGATCGTGGTTTGAAAACTGGTTTGAAAGAGAAACGATACCGTTCCTGCTAATAATATGAGTTAATAATTTTAAGTTAGTAATCTCGATTTCTTCGTTATTCGATATAATCCTGTATAATCGCAGTTATAAACGTCGATGAAAATTCGTGTACCCTATCTTCGACTTTTGCTTTGCAGGAGATGAATCTATTATAACATTATCGATCAACCGGTATTCCTTCTAAGTTTCTACTCATTGTCAGATGTACGTAGTACGTGATATTAGCTATCGTGACTGAAAGGCAATTAAGATACAAGGTTGTTAAAGTTAATTCAGCGAGTGAAACAAAAATTGCGCAAAGTATACTAGCTAGAGCAAACGTGGCAGCATTTCGGTGAGAAAACGAGTACAAGATTCCGTAATGTTTCGTTGCGCCTGTATACGTTTATTTATGCAAAGCCGCTGGTTATTAAGTTTAATGTTACGCCGATCGTCGAGCGCGTATTATCGTAATACGCGACGATTAACGGCACAGGAACTACGGCGAGGAAACTCACGCTGTTTTATACCCGTAATTGTGCACGATGGAACGTTGAAGCGTACATACGCGTAGAAAGTATCAATCCCAACAACTGTATCAACCGCCATACACAACGTTACACGTGTATCGCGATAAGAAACCGCTCGATCTTTTTTCCGCAGTTTAATAGGTCGACACGTAGCTGGTTTATTTCGAATCAAAAAAGAAATTCCACGACGTTTTCTCCTTCCATTTTTACACTTATGCTTGACACTTTAAGCCGTCGACTGGTTGAACGCTTTTACATTGTTAGTAATTTACGACTTGAATAAAATTGCGATAACGTACGAGTACTTATGAGAGCTAGGAAATTTCAACGCACGAGAAAATCCCACTTTTGCGAAATCAACTCGCGAAACAAGTTATTTTTGATGCACAACAGTTAACATCCAAAATCAACGACGAAAAAAATGATATAGTACAACGCCCAATAACGAGTATCCGAATTACGACCTTTGGTCATTACGACCAAACAAACTAGCGTGTTCTGTGCCACAAAACCTGCGAATCGAAGAGCATACGAAGACCGCAAACTCGTTCAACAGTACGTTTTTAACGCGATTCAAATCGTGCATAGTATTCGTATGAAACCAAACAAATACAAACAAACGCAAATGTAAATAGAGAATTCCCCTCGACGATGGACTGACAATTGGAAAGTACAATAACACGAATTTCCATACATTGTTAACTCCTGTAACTAACTACTGCACATTGTATACTGCTATATTTCCTACTTCTAGAAATATTACGCAATACTTTCCATGCTATAACTACGACTTTCTATACGAATATTAATGAGAGTGATAGCCTCAGTCCAGTGCATCCGGCCATCCTTTCGCTTCCTCCGGAAACTGTTTAAACTGTTAAACGCCATCTTTTCGAACTATTTTGCATCAACGTGAATCACGCGAGTCGCAGTAAAGACGACGACCAGTTCCCACTTCTCCGTCATTATCTCCGATTTCCTCATACGCGTTCCTCGTTGCGCGTGTTTATCCGTGTTAAATTGAGAGCAATAGAGAGATTCTGGTGACTAGCGAGCCTCGTATCAGCATGATACGCGACAATTAGCGATGTAACAGCGAGAAGACACGATCGAAATAACACGCGTGCCGTGGTTTAGTCTTTCCAGGACTCCAGGCAATGATGTCCTCGAAGATGGCGTCGTTGTGCTTTCCGGAGGCAATCCGGTTGAATCGTTCTGCTTTTTCCAAGCGTAACGGCCGAAACAGCAAAAAGTCTCGGCGGAGATCCATATCCAGTCTCGCCAACGAGAGTCCGGAAAACTAACCAACTGTGGTAAAAACACGAACAATAGTAGAAAAAGCAGACGAATCTCGTTACTGTGCTGTTTTATAGCACTGGTTAGATGAGCAGATCGTTCCGATGGAGAAACTGAACACCGCTTGTTTTCATCCATTCGCGATTTGCTATCGAATGGGCGCTTCTAATTCGATCGAGTCAATCAAAACATTTTTCTGAAAAAAATTGCGATTCGTTATGTAACAAATTATACTTAAAGACGCTCTTGATATAGAATTTTTAATCGGTCAGCGTAATGCTCAGGTACTTACATGGAAGTAAAATATCTATAACATCGAAACATACGAAAATTCTTGTCGCCAGTTTTATACAGCAGTACTAACTATTACGAGTGAAAATATCTGCCGGTATGTAAATGAAGAATTGGTAAACGATCCATCATTCCATGCCTCTGTACTACAACATACATTAACCGCTAATTAAACGCGCGCTTTCCCAAGATGAAGAAATTCCACGTGTCCCGGCACAAGGAAATTCCACGCTTTCGATTCAATTTCGCAGAAAGAAACACCTCCTCGATCGCACGACGAATTACGTTGCAGCCGACGTAAGAAGCAGAGGGAAGCGTATTCGAAGCTGGTGCCCATAAGCTGAAAGGAAACAAGGTCCCAGAAGGGAAGAGGCACGGTAATTATGCATACGATCTTCGAAACGATTCATGCGTGCAGCGGATCGGATCGAGCGAGCCTCTTCTTCTTCCTTTTCTTACCGATCTTCCCTGTGCCCACAGCGTCTTTTATTTTGCGCGGTGCACATCGTTATTATCTCGTCCAGGCGAGACGGTACGTACGTGCAGTCCTCTTTCACTCGGCTACAACGAAAACTCCAAGTTTCCGGAATTTCTCTGCTCTCTTTATGGACCTATCGCGACATTCCTTCTCGATTTCCCGAAGCCTTCAGTATTAATCGACATTCGCCTAGAAGCGCCGCCATGATCTCGAATTTATCTACTCGTTCGATCGCGCTCGTTAACACGGCCGCGTGAATTAACCGGCATTTCATATGCAAATCAACCTACGCTTGCCGTGAATCGGTCAATATTATAGAACTTGTTCTCAAACCGCCAGAATAATGGATCCATCCGTGCTTTTCGTTTCGTTCGCATGGAATGCTCTTCATAACATGGAATGTTATGTAACAGCTCGTTTATGAAAGAACGCGACAATTCCGGTTACCAGTCTGATATACATAAATGTTATCATTTGACGACGAAAGTAAATCGAATAAACGATGGAAGATAGAGAGCTTGAAAAACGTAGCGTGATACGATAAACTGTGAAATATGAGTTCTTTTATGTCCCCTCGTGGGTTCTTTACGGTTAGTATTGAGCTCGAACTACAACCCGCGAGACTAGTTAACCTATCCTGACTTATCTCAAATATTAGCGTATTACGAACTATGTGAAGTAGAATAAATTGTACGTAGATAAATTGTATTATTAATCGATTCGTCCGATTAAGGTCAGTTAAATCATGAGCTTAACTTTTAACTGGCTAAAAGGAATTTTATTCTTGGGTCTTTTCAAACCGATATAGATCAATGCTACTCATTCAATGGAACCAATCAGCTATTAGACAGCAAGAGTTACTCTAGAAACTACCGAGACTATTCAATAGTACAATTCATTTCACGCAACTCGAATATTCGCAAGGAATAAAATCGACGCATTAACAATTACAAAATTCGGAAACTATTTATCAGTCGTAATTTAAAAAGTTAATCTACATCGACTATAATATTATCGCAAAATAGTTTGTCCCAGTCACTTCCAAGTTATCGCGTTACACGTGCGCAAAGGATACAGAAAGGACAATAACTAAGATTGAAAATACATCTCCAACATCCCACGATAAAATCTACAAGATAAAACATTCGCTCCTCGGATTCCCACCATTACTCAAAACGGCTAGGACCAAGGGAAAAAGTAGCCAACTCCGTGTGATTCGCATGTCGAGCAAATAACAGAGTCGCACTTACAACATATCGTTCGGTTTACTGCAGAAAGAACATCGGCCGATCGAAAAAACATCGTTGCAACCAGAGGCGCTCGAGAAAGAAGGCCTTACGATCTATCGGTTTGATTAGCGCCTATGGCGGTTTGCATACCCCTCGATCTCGCGTGTTCACGGAAGCATACAACTCCAGAGCATACCCTGTCCCGATCATTTCGTCAAGAACCCTAAAGGAAATCCCAAGAGAAAAATCTAGATACCCATGATCGAGGATCGCATCGATTCGAACTCGAATAAATCTGTTCTGAAAGGGAACACGCCGTTAACAAGCGCGATTAGATAATTCGATAATTCGAGGGACCGATTCCGTGGCTGGGACAAGGGTGAGCACGATAAGTCTGAGCTTTCCATGTTCTATTAATTACAGCAACGGGATCGAGGCTTCTTCGTATAGGAAGAGACAGTACAAGCGCTAGGGGATTCGAGTAATTTGAATTTTCGTTTCGATCGTAGTCGCCGATTAACTGGAAGAACGCAGATAATTGTTACTCGAGGTCATCCTCACAACGATCTTGGGTCTGAAAGTAGAGAAAGGAAGAGTTACCTTTGCGAGCGTTATAAAGAGGAATGTAACTACAATACCACGGAACATGTATGATAATTATCAAATGATCGTGGCAAATAAAACAAATGGAAGACGAAGAATCTCGAAAACAATGAAGCAAAAAGGTGACGAAAATGAATACACAAATTTTAATCGAAAGTTTATACTAAAATAGATTTATCGTTGATCCTTTGCGAATAGAGTGAATCAAGCATGAGTTTCATCGATGATCGATCAACACGTTCGTTGCCGAACTAATTCTACGTATACACAAATAACACGATGTGCTAGTTGCTTTGCTTCGGTATAATAACAATGACGATATTTAAAATTTTACAAATAGTAGTATTCATTTAAATTAAATGCTTTTACTAATCTTGGTACTGTCGATTACCGATGAGCAATACAACGCCACTGGTAAATTGAATATCAATCGTTGGCAACTCTCATCTGGTAGCCATCGTGTTGTTAGTCAATTTTGAAGTAATCGAACAGCCGCAAAACAGAATCATACCCTGCAAATAAAAACAGAATCGTGAAGTAACCTCTTCGTTCCATATAAAAAATTAATATTTATTCAAGATTATACCTACTGTTACACGAACACGTCTATATTCGAGTAAAAGTAAAATGTCAAAGATAAAGGTCCAAACAACCATCGGTAGTAAAAGTAACAGAGGCACTCTTCGAAATCCCTTTGTTGAAGAAACCGCGATACTGAAAGCACAATAGCCGACACGTTAAATTCCACGAACGTAGAAGCCACCATCGGCGGATTCTTCTCAAAGAAACACGAAAGCCGCTCGTTCGTTGCGTAAAAATGAGCGGTACACGGGCCGAGAATATTCATTTCGATTTCACGCAGGCACGCGCATGCGTGGAGAAGGGAACAAGCGAGCAACGAGGTTATGCGCGCGCAAAAGTGTAGGTGCGACGCGGAGAGATATCGAGATAGGGAAGCGTAGGAGAAAGGAAAGGGAAAACGAAGGTGAAAAGGAAAAGGAAAAGAGGATGAGGGAGCAAGAGGGAACGGAAAAAGAGAAAAAAGGCAGAAAACGTAGGCGCAACGGGAGAAGAGACCCCCTGGATATGTGTTTGCTTAGCACTTTCGGCTCGAGAGGAAACAAGCGTAGGAAGGCTGTCCGCCGCGAAGTTTACGGCCGCGGAATAAATTATCGTCCGTTTCGTGCGTTCCTTCGAAATTCGCCGTACTACATGCGCGTAGATATAATGCTTAAGGCTCGCACAGGCTCGGATACAATCACTGAAAATACTGTATCCTGACAACCGATCAACTATACAAATACAATTGTTCGACTTTCCCAATCTCGATTTCAATCGATGGATTACAAACTTTCCCCGTCCCTTCCGATTCGTTCTGTTTAAGATAGGTTAGATAGGTTAGAATTTTTCCACGATGGTTACGATTACTTGCTTAATAATTTGATATACTGTAAGAATGTTATATTGAGTTACTAACTGACCACGCAACAAAATAAATGCAAAAAAAGATAACTTACCCTCGACCGACGAAAAATGAATATTCAGTTCATGCTTGAGGAGACAAAATTGTACTTCAATATATCCGACATATTTTTCGACTCCTCTCTCCAAATACACTTTCCAAATCACGTTCGGCGCGAACTGGCATAAAGATGCAAATAAAGCGTCACGAGAAAAATGGACGGAAAAGAAATAAACGTGTTCCCCGACACGAAGAAGTAATTTGTCACGTCCGAGATTAAGAAGTCCGTGATACCGAGCACACTTAAGAAATGTGCAATGTCACCATGTATCGTAGATACGAGAAACCACAAGGAGGATTTAAGGTCCTGCTATCAGCTTGGAAGACTACGGTGTTCAGCACGATGTGTAATGCGCCGTTTCCTATGGTAGGATTATTCTTCTTTTTCTTTTCTTTTTTTTTACTTTTTCCCTACTTCTCTTTTTTTGCTGATCCTCTTGCGGTTGTAGTGGGCAGACCGGTCCACCACGATATTGCTTTCGAAAGCGAATACCTCGGCGTCGTTTGTCGCGTATTGAACCGATAGATGCGTTCCAGGTTATGTTTAACCAATATAGTAATTCAGACTTTTCTTAAAAGTCTCATTGTCCTAGGAGATATTTCTAAAACTCCCCGTTATCATTTCTCGATAAAAGAACTAAAAGCAAAAAGAAAACGGTTTAAAAACAAAAACGTGATCACACGAGTTATAGGTTAAAACATTCAACTGCTACGACATCTATCCCACATTCATTCGCACGACGAATGAAAAGACTGCCATCTAATTCTCATTCAACTCCATGCCAATTAATTTCTTTCGATTTAATTTCCAACATCTTTACAATTTATCCACATTATTACAGTTCCATGCGTAACACGGTGAAGAAAACAAAAACAAGTTTCATGAACCGTTCCGTATTTTTTCAATCGATTCATCATACCTCTAAAAACTGTACCAATACAATCACATGCAATCGACAGCAAAATTCGTTCGACTCTAATTCACGCGGTCACATTACGTAGAAACGGGTCTCGAAACGACACTCGAGCAAACAACGATCTCACTTTTGATTCAGCGAACCACGATTATATCTCCGTCGGTGTATCCTGTCTAATTATACGGCATCTCGGCGTTTAGCATCTATTCCGGGATTCTGCGAACAGGGCACACACATCCTGCTAGGCCGATTGTGCTGCCGCGATTAGGCTAATTAATGCATACGACAAGAATGTATACACGCGTGACGAGATATTAGATAAATGGATCGGGTTTTACTCCCCGCTCACTACCAGGAAATTTTCCGCTTGAGTACCTTTTCAGGCGTTCGGGCACCTCGCGATTTCTTACAAGCAGGAAAAGATCGAGAGGAATCGATCGAGCGCGTAATCGTCACGGAAAAACTTCGGTCTCGAAACGTCGAATGTCGAGGTGTGTATGCGGGGGCAAGTCTTGTTATTTCAATCCACGACTCGGCGTTAAAGCGAACACCTATTATCGCTTGTAAGTAATTTATCGGTACGTCACGGGAAATAATTTACATGGCTTTTATATCGGTAACTACTAGATGGCGTTTGATCGACGACGATTTTATTTATACGCTAGATGGCAAGATTGACGCTGATTGGCGGAAACGTGAAATCTAAGTTGGTTATTAGTACATGGAATGACTTTGGGGCGATATAATCTATGTTTTGATATGATCTTTGTATTGTTTTGAAATATGCAATACAGTTGCAATGTTAACGTTGTATGTTTTTATTATTTACGTACTTGAGCGAAATGAAAGTAATCACATTAGAGCAAGATATCTAAAATATGTTTCAATGGTAATTATATTTGTTTAACGGTTATTAACTTTAAAAAATAAATCGAACTCTTTTGTTTTCAGTCATAACATCCCGCCTTAAGTGTTAAGTGTTTGGAACAGGGAAATAGGTAGACACACAATACACAAAAAATGTTGATAATACTCGTAATAGTCATAGCGAAACGGACAAATATAAACCATCCTGGAAGAGCAGTTCAGAGGGTACGTGGAATAACGTACAAAGTACCATGCTATATAGGATATAGACCGTCAATAACGTTAAACATATATCTGGACATATAAAATACGATGCAGCAGCACGGTATTTACTTCCTTATCAATCTGCACATACAAACTTTGCATGTCCTTCTTGGTGCTTTGGAATACTGAATTATCGTTATGGCGGCAATAACTCAAAGGTACATACCATGGACCTTCATCGCAAACCATGTTCATCCCCGAAGCAAGTAAATAATAAAAGAGTAAAGTCTAATTACTTACTGGCTGTCTCTATACAAAAAGGTAGTCATATTCCGTTCTACCCTTACATGCAAGTATAAAACATATATTTGTACTTCAATATAACTGGAACAACACTGGAAAGAAAAATAGTAAAGAAAACGACTCAAAATAAACTGGTAATAATTTAAAAAGAAACATAAGTAATTTAATGTACTAAAATAAGCTTTAAAACAAGAAATACTTTGAATACTATCTGCAAAAAGGAATACACTATACCTGCATAAGTATCGCATTACTTAGTATTATTATTATCATTTAGTATTATAGCTTATCAGCTGATATATATTGACTTACAAGGACAGCGCAAGTCCTTCGGATCACCGATTTAGTTGAAACATTGCAGGTTTGTAGAAATCATCATGCAATTTAAGAAAATATATCATTATAGCGACAACCACTCGACAGTCTTTGAAATATTTATGATTAAAGTTGCATTACTTCCTGAATTATACATTTATTTCCAGCGGTTTAAAAGCAGAGTCGTGGCCTAAAGGCGATAGTTCAAAATTCTATGCTGAAGAACCATGGTTCAATTTCTGTCCCCCATAGTTCGGTAGTTTTTTAATCTATTTTTTATTTTGTATTCATTTTTCGTCTATGAAAACAATGTAAATAAACAATTCTAAATAAAATTTCTTAACAAAAAAATTTATTTTTTACGCTTTCTTATGCTAGTACATATTTATTACAAAATAATAAGAATATTATGCAAGAAAAATACTTTTTTATTGTAATCTTATTTACTACAGAAAATACAAAACCTATCGCTTGTGTAAGTGTTAATTATTAAATTAAACATTGCACAAGAATGTTGTCTATAATTGCAACTTTGCTGTGCAGCTATAAATGTTCATGAATTAATTACAAAAACTCCAGATTTGTTAATTTTCCACTGTCGAATTAATTTATTAGGATAATAACCGATTCAAATTTAAGCGCCTTCAATCAGCGCCATCTATGATTTGGGCTCAAAAATCAAGAAAGTAATAGGAATACAGAAGAGGCAAGGAGGTCGTCGGTGAGCAGGTCATGTGATAGACAAGGACAGAGAGGGGATAGAAAAGGATAGAATGGCTCCGGCAGTGAAAAATTATTAATTACTCAATTTCTGTAATTAATTTATGAACTTTTATAATTTCGTTGCAAAGCTGGAACTTCAGGCTACATTCTTATATAATTTTCGTAAAGAATTTAACTCTAAATTGTTAGTTATTAATTTTTGTTTGATGGCGTCAATGATTTCGTAACGGCGACCATTACGATCTTTCGTGAAAATATTTAATACTAAACGAAACTAGAAGCAAAATGTGAACAAAAGTGATATGAGAAGATTCGCAAGAACATTGTTTTTCTAATGAGTACATAAAGTTTCACAAATTAATTGCGTAAAGGATAGTAATTAACGAAAAACCAATGGCGTCTTCGACAACAATTCAAACACTCCGTAGAATAATAATTAATAATTAATTAATTAGGGACAAATTTATAACAAAAGTTATATTAGAAAGTTCGCCAAGGCTGCGCCTTTACGATGAAATTATAAAAGTTCATAAATTAATCGCAGAAATTGAGTAACTTGTTAATTTTCTAGTACCGAATGAAAATTCAAACGACATCAAAGATTCAAGGTTCCAGTCCAAACTCATAGATGGCGCTGATCGAAGGCGCTTGAATTTGAATCGGTTATCAACTTTGGTTATATGCTTCTGACACAATCTATTATTGAACGGCAATTGTGTAATGGATATTTTCGACTGTACACGGCGAATTAATCTATAACTGGAGAGAATGACATGAGATTGTGACAACGATGAAAACAAAAGGACACCTCGAGTGAGTAATATAAGATGGAATGTGTGTGGGTTGTGTATGTTTTAAGTAAAAAATAAATCAACAGGTTATGGACTGTCAACAGAATGTAGGCCACGTGCTTGCGTGCAGAAAACAAAATTCGAGAAGAAAATTGGAAGTATCAGTAGATGGAGGGATCAAGATGGATACCATATTTGAAAATTTAGAGTGATCTTCACGCTATGGTCTTAAGGTTTGTATTGACATATAATGAAAAACCTAAGAAATGTAGAAAACTGCAAACAAGATTGGTTAAAAATGTGTAATTACAAAATTTGATAGTTTCAATCGTAGAAAAGGTATTATTACTTGATAACCTGTACGTCAAGTTATGAGATGCGATTAAAATTAAGCAATATCTATGAGAAGGATACAAACCAGCAGAACATGATATAGTAACCCACACTGCGTGGCTGACAGGTAAGTTTTCAAATTACATTCATTAGGACGTAAAATAGAATAAACAATGTTTATAACTAAAATCTTATGTTCATTGTCAGATCGTGTATTTGTAACTGTGTGGGATTAATGCAGAAAGAAGAAAGGAAAATAGATAATCTCACAACTCAGGTGATTGTCAAGAAAACAAGATCATCAAAATGATCTATAGCCTACAAAGCTCAAGAGAAGAGGTGTTTCAAATGTAACTCCACCAAACATATTGCAAGTGCATGTTGGAAAAACAAAAAAGGTAACAAAGAAATTAAATATTTTAGTTGTGGAAGATTAGGATAAAAATCAGAAAAATTTCTAGGATTAAGAAGAAAAGACGAGACTTAAGAAGTGTGCTCTCCGTGTGGGACATGTAAGAAATCTAATTATTTGGAAAAAGACTGTTATTTTAAAAACATGAAGGAGAGCAAAGGAGATCAAGAAGGAAAGAAGAAAGTGAAGAAGCTTCTTGACGGAGAACAATGGAACAAAACAATGGATTTTGGACTCAAGAACAACCAGCCATATGGTGAACAAGCTAGAATATTTTAAGGAATAAGAAGCAATAGGAACAGAAATTGAATCAGCAAAGAGAAACATTTTCATGGAAACTATAGCAAAAGGTAGGATTGCGTTAGATAGCTGTATATTTGAGAATGTTCCGTATGTTTCAAACTTGAGACGGAATTTAATGTCAATATATCTGATAATTCAAAATGTGGTAAGATAATTCTAAGAGTGGTAAAATAATGTTCTAGATATATAATGTAATAATCTATAAGAAGAAAAAAGAAATATTAATAGAGAAGATGTGCATTAATGGACTTTATGGTGTGGACGAATTAAATGGAAAAATACAGACTGGAACATTATTAGTAAGGAGGAGCAAGAAACTGATAGTGGTACAGAAAATTAGGCCATCTAAATATAGAAAACATGAAAGAGTTGTCCAAGAAAATATTGGGAATAGAAGTAACGAAAAGAATATGAAAGGCAAGAATTGGAGAATGCAGGATACTTTTTCTGTACAAAGCAATTTAAGATACCATTTTGAGAACCAAGAACAAGGGCAAAAAGACAGCTAGAAATTATACTTTCTGATATATGTGTGGGTCTTTAGAACCAGAGACATGGAACAGAAATAGGTATGCGATGACAGTCTTAGATTTTACTAATTTTGTAGTGATATATTTTATGGAATCATATAGTGAAGCATTACAGAGGTTGTTTAATTATGTTGCAGCAGTAGAAGCAAAGTGGAATAACACAGAGACTTAGATGCTATAATGGGGGGAGGTGTGTTTATCAGTCTACAATACAAAAATTGATGCAGACGGAAAGTAATTATACTGGACTATATGACTCTGTAAACACCTCAGCTGAATGAAAAAGTTTAATCGAACATTATTGGATAACACATGAGCACTCCTGTACGACTAGAATGGAAAAGAAATTGTGAATAGAAGTCGTGTATTTTGCAACTTACCTATAGAATAAAAGTTCTGCAACAGCAATGAATACAACTGTATATAGAAAGTGTGTAGGAGAAAGGTCTCACATATAAATTAGATCTTTTTGGATAAACTAATATTCTTCGAAATCTGAGAGTAATAGAACAATTTTGATTGCAGATTTGTTTCAAGGAAAGTAAACTCTGCAAGAATTACCCAATGAATATTACTGATTAAGATTTGTATTGACAATATAATTGCATAAATGATACAGCATAATCTTTGTATTACTGAAAAATATGGTTCAGTTTAACACTAGAATTAGTAAAAAGGTCAAAAGCATAAAATAAATAAGTGTGTATAAGTATGTATAATTAATATCTGAATGAAATGTAAACTAACTATTGTCAGAAGCATATATATATTTACAATAATTTGTGCATTTATAAATTTTTCCTTAATTAATTAATTATTGATAATTATTGCACAGAGGACGTGAACTCATACCGAAGATGTAATTGGTTTTCCATTAATTACTAACTTTTATGCAATTAATTCATGAATTACAAGCACACATGATAGAAACAATATAAAAGTGCCATTTATTTTTATTAATAATTATTGCACAAAGGACATGAACTCATACCGAAGATGCAATTGGTTTTCCATTAATTACTAACTTCTATGCATTAATTCATGAATTGCAAGCACACATGATAGAAACAATATACAAGTGCCATTTATTTCTTCGTAACAATAGTTTTTAACATATAAGTGTTTGAAATAACATCTTAAAGTTGCGAAAAGCATAATTTTTAATAAATTTTACGAATTTACATAACTTATATATACAAATTATACAAATTTTGTAACTAACACATATATATATATTACATATTGCTATACAATATATTTTTATAATTAATTTAATAATTAATTTTATTAATTTATAAGCTTTCTATAGTGGAAAATAAGTATTTTTTAACTCATTATTTGCATAACAGAAACATATTTGTATTTGCATCATTTTTATTCATAAATATAAGACATCGTTTGATATTCTACATCGATACTTTGGCAAATGGCTATCTCAAACACGAAGCATCTTCCCGCGAAAACAAGCATAGCTTGTCCAATCGCAGCGCACTTCTAGTCGACGCGATCCATCATGCCGGTAATACATGGAAAAATGTTTACGCGCGTTAAAGTAAAATTTTCAGTATCGGAACAATACGTTTCGTAAAGTAGTGCCATCATTGATTAGTGTTTTAATTACTGCAACTGACGAAATTAATATTCAACAATGATAATGCACAATATCAGTTATTCTTTCGGAACATTGAACAACTTTAGTAACATCTTCGCGATATTTACGAAAGGAACACAACAAAAGTTTAAGAATTCGAGAGAACTTTACCAAGAGCAGGATAACTAACTACGAACATTTGTTCGGTAGTAATATAACACATGTGGAAAAAAGTTAAGTAACATAGTGAAAATCGTTTACTGATACATGTGCGACATGAATTAGTGTAAGTGCGAATCATATAATACAACAGAATAGTCACGTGTTATCAGTTGTAGATTCCAGAATTCGATCGTCCAATGGGATATTCGTTAGCATTGCCCGGCACAGGCAGTTTCTTAATAGTTTTCCTATTCTTTCTTTAATTTCAACGGTACAGACGTGAAATAAAGTGATGCAAGTGCAAGTGTGTATCAAATTGTGCTGTGTTGTTATGTATTATCGTTATCGTTTAGATATTGGAAATTTCGATTTTGCATTGCCATATTTCGCTATCATTCGTTAAAATAGAATGTTTCCTGATCAGTAGGCCAATTTCTTTCCGATTTGGATCGTTCATTTTCGACGTATAGTGACGGAAGTGTGAGTCGTGTAAAATCGAATTATCTCGTCACGTTTCTTCGCCTAGATATATGAAATTCCTGCTCCGTATTAAAATATTTTGTTACGACTTACCACAGTAGACACTACTCTTATCAGCAGACCTATCTTTTCTCGATTTTCGCAGTTTTCTTTCGAAATAGAGTGTCGAAAGTGGAGGAGCGTGGCAGGTCGTACTGCGACGTTATCTCTCGTGGCTTAGATCTTTGAAATTTGCATTTGTGATTTTGATTTTTCATTATCACTCAATAGATCGGGCTCTTCTCTAGTAGAATCAGTGGTTTCTTTTCGATTTTCATCGTTTTTTTTTCTAAATTCAGGACCGAAAGTAGACGCGTGTGACAGTTCGTGGTGCGACGTTATCTCTGGTGGCTTCGTTCTTTGAAATGTGCATTTTTGGTTTTGATTTTTCATTATCACTCGATAGAACGGGCTCTTCTCTAATAGAATCAGTGTTTTTTCTTCAATTTTCGTCGTTCTTCCTCTAAATACAGTGCCGAAAGTGGAAGGGCGTGGCAAATCGTACTGCGTCGTTATCTCTCGTGGCTTAACTCTTTGAAACTTGCATTTGTAATTTTGATTTTTCATTATCACTCAATAGATCGGGCTCTTCTCTAGTAGAATCAGTGGTTTCTTTTCGATTTTCATCGTTTTTTTTTCTAAATTCAGGGCCGAAAGTGGACGTGTGTGACAGTTCGTGGTGCGACGTTATATCTGGTGGCTTAGTTCCTTGAAATATGCATTTTTGATTTTGATTTTTCTGGATTACTCGATAGAACGGGCTCTTCTCTAATAGAATCAGTGTTCTTTTTTCGATTTTCGCCGTCCTTTTTCTAAATACAGTGCCGAAAGTAGACACGTGTGACAGTTCGTGGTGCGACGTTATCTCTGGTGGCTTAGTTCTTTGAAATGTGCATTATTGGTTTTGATTTTTCATTATCACTCGATAGAACGGGCTCTCTTCTAATAGAATCATTGTTCTTTTTTTCAATTTTCGTCGTTTTTTTTCTAAATACAGTGCCGAAAGTGGAAGGGCGTCGCAGGTTGTACTGCGTTGTTATATCTCGTGGCTTAGCTCTTTGAAACTTTGATTTTTGATTTTGATTTTTCTGGATTACTCGATAGAACGGGCTCTTCTCTAATAGAATCAGTGGTTTCTTTTCGATATTCGCCGTTTTTTTTCTAAATACAGTGCCGAAAGTGGACGCGTGTGACAGGACGTACTGTGTCGATATCTCTCATGGCTTAGCTCGCTGAAACTTCGATTTTTGATTTTGATTTTTCATTATCACTCGATAGATCGGGCTCTTCTCTAATAGAATCAGTGTTTTTTTTCAATTTTCGCCGTTCCTCCTCTAAATACAGTACCGAAAGTGGAAGGGCGTGGCAGATCGTACTGCGTCGTTATCTCTTGTGGCTTAGCTCTTTGAAACTTCGATTTTTGATTTTGATTTTTCGTTATCATTCGATAGAACGGGCTCTTCTCTAATAGAATCAGTGTTCTTTTTTCGATTTTCGCCGTTCTTTTTCTAAATACAGTGCCGAAAGTAGACACGTGTGACAGTTTGTGGTGCGACGTTACCTCTGGTGGCTTAGTTGTTTGAAATGTGCATTATTGGTTTTGATTTTTCATTATCACTCGATAGAACGGGCTCTCTTCTAATAGAATCATTGTTCTTTTTTTCAATTTTCATCGTTTTTTTTTCCAAATACAGTACCGTATATGGAAGTGTGTGACGGTTCGTGCTGCGTCGTTATCTTTCGTGTCTCAGAGTCCTATACTTCGTCTTTTGATTAGGTTTCTTTGCTATCACTCAATAGAACAGATCGTTGCCTAATTATTTGCCCGATTTTTTCAGGAAATTAAAAGAAGATTACAGAAGAACGTGGGAAGCATCGTTATGTCCATGGCAGTGTGTCTGCATCTGGTCGAAGAATGTAAGTCTTTATTTTAACATAACCTTCTGTTGTAAATAAATAAGTAGTTTTATGTAAATAAGTGAGATATAAACCATTCTTTTTCTATCTTTTATAAGTTATATTTAAGTCTGGTTGTGTAAAGACAATATTTTGTTGAAATAGACATGCACGTGCAGTTGGAGAAAAATATTGTAGGAATTATTTTATATGGCAAGAAAGAATTGACACTGTAAATATGTAAATTATAATATGTCTTTTGGATTCTAGGTCGACTAGCCATATGACATGCAGGACATATATATTTGGTGGCGATAAAGGGACTGAGAGAGGAAGATGGGTTTGTCAGATGCAGAGATATGGAGATTACAGTCAGATTGAAAGGAATGTTGTGTTCCAAATCTGAGTAAATGTTGATATCAGTGATCAAAGTCAATGACCAACACTAATTTGTTAAGTTTTAGAAAGATGAAGTTGATGACTATAAAGAAAATGGAGAAGTTCAATTGAAAACATTAAGAAGTGGAAATGCATATTATGTGGATCAGAAAACATAAATAAGGACGCATATGGATCAACAAAGAAAGGTGTGTAATATGGATGACTGGGTCATGCAAATATAAGGATCATTTAAGAGATGAAAAACAAATGATTGGTAATAGTTATGCAAATTCAATATAGAATTTAAATGTTGCAGTAGGGCAAAAATCTGGAGAAATATCTACAGCAACTTGGAAACAATAAAAGCAGCAGTATTAATGGGTATGTGGTACATGGACTTGACTAGGCCAATGAAACCAGTGTCAAAAGCAGATAAAAGGTACGTCTTATCTGCTGATAATTATTCGAGAGTGTTTATTGTCTTGCTTGTACAGGAGAAGAGTCAGAAAGCTGAGAAAATAAAACGATTGGTGGAATTGAAAGAAAATCAGTCTGTCATGAAGTTAAAAAGTACTTATATGCTCAGGCAATGAAGGTGAGTTTGTGGGGCAATACTTCCAGGTTTGGTTACATCGAAAGGAAATAAAATATGATTTGATTTCAGCCAAGATTTCGCAGTGCAATGAAATTGCTGGGAGGAAGAACAAATCCACCATACAGATGACAAGGGCACTTATGATGGATTCAGACTTCAGACTTTGGGTAAGTAATCTAAAGAGGAATGTGTGTGAGTTCTGCATGTTCTTAGCAAAAGAATAAATCAACAGATTATGGACTGCCAACAGAATGTAAGTCACGTGTTTGAGTGCGGAAAACAAAATTTGAGAAGGAAATTGGAAGTGTCAATAGATGAAAGGATCAAGATGGATATCATATTTGAAAATTTACAGTGGTCTTCATGTCATAATCTCAAGGTTTGTATGAACATACAATGGAAGAACCAAGAATTATAGAAAAGTACAAACAAGATTGGTTAACTAACAATTTGTAGGTATGAAATCTGAGAGTTTCAATCAGAGGGGAGGAATTCATGTATCAACCTTACTTCAAGTCATGAAATATGGGTAAAATTCAGCAATGTCTATGAGAAGGATAAGAACAGCAAGAATATTCCGTTACAGGGGAATTTTTCATGTATAAATATAAATTTAAACGTGATATTGTAACCCACATTGCGTGTCAGACAGATAAGTTTTCAAATTACATGCATTAGGGAGTAAGATAGAAAAAACAATGCTTATTACTAAAATCTTACGTATGTTTCTAGATTGTGTATTTGCAAATGACACCTGAGAGTTAACACAGAAAGAAGGAAAGGAAATAGATAATCTCAAAACTGAACTGATTGCCAAGGAAGCAAGGGAAACGCAGATCAAAATGAATCTGTAGCCATCATAGTCCAGGAAACGTGGTGTTTCAAGTTCAACTCCGCTAAACATTTTGCAAGTACATATTGAACAAACAAATAAGGTAATAAAGAAATTAAATATTTCAGTTTTGAAAGATTAGGATAAAAATCAGATAAATTTCTAGGATTAGAAAGACAAGACGAAACTTAAGAAGTGCACTCTCTGTGTGTTACATGTAAGAAGTCTAATTATTTGGAAAAATCATTTAAATTGTTGTTTTATACACAAAGGAAAGAAAAGGAGATCAAGATAAAAAGAGGAAAGTGTGCTTCTTGACAGAGAGCAATGGAACAGAATAATGGGTTTTGGACTGGAGAACAATGATCCATATGGTTAATAAACTGGAATATTTTAAAAATAGGAAGAAATAAGAATGGAAATTGGAGTAGTGTAAAGAAATATTTCCATGGAAGCTAAAGCGAAAGTTAGAATAGAGCCAGATACTTGAATATTGTTTGTGTTCTACACTTGAGACAGAATTTATTGTCAGTAAATCTGATAACTGGAGATAGTGGTGAAGTAATGCTCAAGGAAAATGAAGTAATAGCTCTTAAGAATAAAGAAGAAATATTCGTAGGGAAGATGGATAATAATGGTCTTTATACTAGTAGAAAGGAACAAGAAGCTTGTAGAGAGGCACAGAAAATTGGGAAATCCATGTATAGGGAAGATGAAAGAGTTGTCCACGAAAGTATTGAAAATGAAATTAACGAAAAGAGTAGTAAAGACAGGAATTGGAGAATGCAGGATATTTTTGTGAAGCAAAGCAATCGAAGATTCCATTTGGAGAGACAAGAACAAGGTTCAAGAGCCAGTTGGAGACAAAACATTCTGATTCATGTGAGCTTGTAGAGCCAGAGACATGGAATAGAAATAGGTATGTGATGATAGCCTTAGATTTTATTAATTTTGAAAGGATTTATGTTATGGAATCAAATATTGAAGCATTACAGACATTGTTTGTGTTGCAGCAGCAGAAGAAAAGTGGAATAACACACAGACTTAGATGCTATAATGGAGGGATGTGTGTTTGTCAGTCTAGAATACAAAAATTGATGCAGACAGAAAGTAATTATACTGGATTATACGACACTGTAAACACCTCAACTGAATGGAAAGGATTAATCGAACATTATTGGATAACATACGAGCACTCTTGTACGACTGGAATGGAGAAGAAATTATGGATAAAAGCTGTGTATTTCGCAACTTATCTACAGAATAAAAGTTCTGCAACAGGAGTGAATACAACTGCACATAGAAAGTGAGTAGGAGAAAGATCTCACATATAAATTACACGTTTTTGGAGAAACTAATATTCTTCGATATCTGAGAGTAATAGAGCAATTTTGTTTACAGATTTGTTTCAAGGAAAATAAACTTTGCAAGAATTACCCAATGAATATTACTAATTAAGATTTGTATTAACAATGTAATTAAATAAATGATACAGCTTAATCTTTGTACCAAGAGTTTGATTCATTTTAATATTAGAATTATCAAAGTGGTCTCATGCATAAAATATTGCAAATTTATAGTTATCCTATCAAAAGTTACTATTGATTTCATTGAGATAGGAAGAAAATTATACATACTTATTTTTTTATGCAGTTAACACCTTTCGTAATTCTAGATAAATTAATTCCTTTTTAATTAATTAATTTGTAATAATTATCCAACATAGGGTGCGATGCAATTATAAAAATTCATGAATTAATTACGGAAACTCCGGATTTGTTAATTTTCCACTGCCGAATTAATATATTAGGATAATAATCGATTCAAATTCAAGCGCCTTCGATCAGCGCCATCTATGATTTGGGCTCAAAAATCAAGAAAGTGATAGGAATATAGAATAGGCGAGGAGGTCGTCGATTAGTGTGTCACGTGACAGACAAGGACAGAGTGGGGATAGAAAAGAATAGAAGAGCTCCGACAGAGAAAAGTTTATAAATTACTCAATTTTCGTAATTAATTTATGAACTTTTATAATTTCGTTGCAAAGTTGGAACTTCAGGCAATATTCTTATGTAATTTTCGTAAAGAATTTAACTCTAAATTGTTAGTTATTAATTTTTGTTTGATGGCGTCTATGATTTCGTAACGGCGATCATCACGATCTTTAGTGAAAATATTTAATACTAAACGAAACTAGAAGCAAAATGTGATCAAAAGTTATATGAGAAGATTCCTAGAAACATTGTTTTTCTAATGAGTGCATAAAGTTTCATAAATTAATTGTGTAAAGAATAGGAATTAATGAAAAACCAATGGCGTCTTCGACAACTATTCAAACACTCCGTAGAATAATAATTAATAATTAATTAATTAGGGACAAATTTATATCGAAAAATATATTGGAAAGTTCTTGAAAGATCTGCCTTTACGATGCAATTATAAAAGTTCATAAATTAATCGCAGGAATTGAGTAATTAATTAATTTTCTAATAAAAATTCGAACAACAACGGTCAGCACCACCTATGACATTTATCTGGAAGCTTGTGCTCCGTTAGTTCCAGTACAAAATTATAGGTGGCACTGACTGTTCCTTTTTGAATTTTTATTAGATAATTAATTAATTACTCAATTCCTGCGATTAATTTATGAACTTTTATAATTGCATCGTAAAGCCAGATCCTTCAAGAACTTTCCAATATATTTTTTGATATAAATTTGTCCCTAATTAATTAATTATTAATTATTATTCTACGGAGTGTTTGAATTGTTGTCGAAGACGCTATTGGTTTTTCGTTAATTACTATCCTCTACGCAATTAATTTATGAAACTTTATGGACTCGTTAGAAAGACAATGTTCTTGCGAATCTTCTCATATAACTTTCGATCACATTTTGATTCTAGTTTCGTTTAGTATTAAATTTTTCCACGGAAGATCGTAATGGTCGTCGTTAGGAAATTAAGGACGCCGTCAAACAAAAATTAATAACTTACAATTTAGAGTTAAATTCTTTACGAAATTATATAAGAATGTAGCCTGAAGTTCCAGCTTTGCAACGAAATTATAAAAGTTCATAAATTAATTACAAAAATTGAGTAATTAATTAATTTTTCACTGCCGGAGCCCTTCTGTCCTTTTCTATCCCCTCTCTGTCCTTGTCTGTCACGTGACCTGCTCACCGACGACCTCCTTGCCTCTTCTATATTCCTATCACTTTTCCGAGCATATGGTCCAAAATCACAGATGGCGCTGACCGCAGGCGGTAAAATTTGTAATCGAACTAGATACTAGAAATTAATTCGGATGTAGAAAATTAATAAATTTCCCAGTTTTTGTAATTAATTCATGAACATTTATAGCTGCGCAGCAAAATTGCAATTATAGCATCATTCTTATACAATGTTTCATTTAATAATTAATACTTACATGAGCGATAGGTTTTGTATTTTCTGTAGTAAATAAGATTACAATAAAAAAGTATTTTTCTTGCATAATATTCTTATTATTTTGTAATAAATATGTACTAACATAAGAAAGCGTAAAAAATAAATTTTTTTATTAAGAAATTTTATTTACAATTGTTTATTTATGTTTTCATAGACGAAAAATGAATACAAAATAAAAAATAGATTAAAAAACTACGGGGACAGGAATCGAACCACGGTCTTTCAGCATACAATTTTGAACTATCGTCGTTAGACCACGACTCTACTTGTAAACCGCTGGAAATAAATGTGTAATTCAGGTAGTAATGAAACTTTAATCGTAAATATTTCAAAAACTGTTGAGTAGTTGCCGCTATAATGATATATTTTCTTAAACTGCATGATGATTTCTACAAATCTGCAAAGTTTCAACTAAATCGGTGGCCCGAAGGACTTGCACTCTCCTTGTTAGCTATACGTAGGACCACATATGATACAAAAATATTGAAAATATTTAAAACAGCACTAAATACTTCTGGATATGAAGAATTTGGAAATTGAGTCATCAGCAACGCTTAATTAACCCTATTACACGTGGTTCGTCAAACCTCTTTGACAATACTTGTAGATTAAAAGATGATATCTTTTATGAATGTTTCGGTATAAAATTTAATAATAGTCAATCGCTTTTCATATTAAATATGAAATCGAGGTAAGATACTTATTAGAATTAAAAATCTCAATAAGTGGACTTTTGCTTATACAGTTTTCCTTCATATTAACGAATATTCAGTGAAAATTATTTTAACAACTAATAATAATGTTCATTAATTAATTGAGCACGAATTGTTGACTTTAACGAAGTAAACGGCAAGAATAGAAAATTCGTTACTTCTAGTAGATC